TCATGTACTTAACAATAGTCAAGTGTACTTGACTATAATATTGTTTACTTTATTGTTTACTGAAGTATAATTTAAGTGTACTTTAGTAAACTATTTAGTTCGAAGAAGTATTACTTTAGTAATACTTCAAGTACACTTAAAGTACTTGTTTGGGTATACTTTCTAAACTTATACTTATACTTAGGTATTTTTAATAGAATTTACTTCAAGTATACTACTTTTTGCTAAGGGAGCACCTGCCCACACTGCCAGAAATAGGGAGACTACTCCAAATCCAGCAATGAAGAAGAGGTGAAGGTCACTAATATAGGAACTAGAGCTGCTTTCAGACCTCGGATGTGTCTACGGGTAATCACCTTAACATGCCTGGTGAAGAGCAAAATGGTTTGTGCTGAAACCGAGTTAACATAATTCATGGTCAAAGCACGCCCACATCATATCACCTTTACCAGATGAAATGGGAAGCACATCTATAGATCTACTAATCACTGAAAATGTTACCAACATTCTCTGAGAAAATTATTTGCTTTCTTTATAGTAGGTGGAGATTTTTCCATGGATGGAATTTTTTGCTCATTCTCTTTCTTATTGTTGAATCAACAGGTCACCGAGGTTAAGAAAATGTATTTTTCATAGAACCAAAGCTGATTGGGACATATATTTTCCCTTATAAATTAAATCATTTATAATCATCATCTGCTTTATGTAATGCTTTGGATTGTCCCTGTATAATAACATTGATTATCTAAAACATATAAGTAAAGATCAAGAGCAACTCTGTAAGGGAAAATACTTTTTTCACCACCCAATAATTCTCATTTTTTGAACTGAATTGGTGAAATATTTACAAGTGTTTGATGAATAAATGATTGTGCAAAGGTTTATAATTTGCACTAAAGCCTGAAAGTTGATTTCCACTTGGGCCTCAGGTGGGTTTAAAATAATTAATGTGTTATTTTGCACACTCGGCTCCTGATGGCACATAATACTTTTGTGTTGTGACAAAGACAAGCTGTGATTCCCATTACAAGGGCCATCGGTGACCCATTTAGGGCCGCCCTCGTCTTGGGGCAAAAAAAAAAAAAAAAAAGTTGTCTAACAGGTACATAGCGTGCTGTTCCGCTCATGGCTCAACTTTAAACAAAATCATATTAAAGGTTTAATTCATCACTCACCTGACGATGACTTTCTTTCTCAACGTTCTCTCCGTTCACCTCCACCAGACGGTCCCCAGGACGCAGTCCGGCCAGGTCAGCCGGGGATCCAGGCTCCACTGTGCGGATGAACTGTCCGCCTTTCTTCTTCTCTCCATGCAGGTGAAAGCCATATCCGCGCTGACCCTTGATCAGAAAGCAGAGCCTGGGTCTTAGCTCGTTCTCCATCCCAGATTGTAAATGAAGAAAAACACCTCAGAGTGACTCCCAGGAATAAACAGCTAGATTTTCTCCAAGAGCTTTGGCAAACTGCGCGCTCCTAATAATCCAACGCGCCTCCACTCGCTCCAGGGACAAAAAAATCATCTTCATTACTCAGCATCATATGAATCCCGTAACAATTCAAAGAAAACCTGAGAGTGGAAATTAAATTTAGCACAAAAAAAAAACAAACCAAAAACACTTAGGGATTAATCCATTTTTAGCAAATACCCGCGCTTGAAGCGGTGCGTAAAACAGTGCTAAAAAGGAAACACGGACAGGTTAAGTCCCGTCCATCAGTATAATCCAAGAGATCAGAGATTAGAAAGCTGGTCCAAACACGCAACACTTAATTCTCCTCGTCAGAGCGGGGCGTGTGTCCTCCTGAGAGACCTGGTGAGAGTGAGGAAGGGAGGCGCCAATAACGCACACCTCTATACCCCACAGCGCGCACCTGGAGACCCAGCAGCCGCGCTATAGGCTGGAAGACTTATTGGAAATATATAGTTTGGCACTTATTAAGTCAAGGTGTGCGTTCAGTCAGGTCTCCTCCTTTGATTTCATTCCGGAGAAGTAGCTGAAACCCGACAGGCTGTGACCTGAGAAATCAAATCTCCCTCATCAGTCCTCTGTCCCCCTATCTGTGCTGCAGATCTCCATAAGCGCGCCTGCGTGAAAGGGGGTGTATTGGGCATGAGACAAAAGGGTTTCCGTGTGATTGTTGTTGTTGCGTGTGTGTGGAAGGAGTTCATCATATATGCTTGAGAACGTTTCACCTTCCTTGATTTGACTCTGAGGCAAGGAATAAGAGATGTTTGCATCTTTGCAAATTTTGGTTTTGTTTTCTGCACTGAGACATTTTCTCACACAGAGACAAGGCTTTCTTCCTTAGAAGACAAAAGTGAACCTACTTATATTATATAACGACTCTTTATTTTTCTTCTGCAAAAAAGAAGGTGGAGAAAAACGTCAGACATGAATGCTTCTAGACTGATTTGAAAAAACAAGAATTTTGCATGATGGAAACAGTACTGTTAATGTGTACTCAAAGTTATTATTTAGAAAAAATATAGCCCAAAACCCAATCACTTTTTTTTTATGTTAACTGTTTCAACCCCAACCCTTAAGACCACTAAGGGTAAATTCTGGCACTAGGTGTAACATAAGTGGGGGCTTGTCCGGGATCCTGAATTTGCGAGAGGTCCCGACTTCATCCTGGACAAGCCCCCACTTATGTTACACCCAGTGCCAGAATTTACCCTTAGTGGTCTTAAGGGTGGGGGTTGTAACATAAACCATCTTGAGTCGTCAGTTGTCAACCAGCTTGAAGCTTACATCTATAAAATAAAACATCTATTACTGCTTCCCTTTTGGCTTTGGTTAAAGGCCTTCCACTGAAACAGATCTGCTTAACATTAACAATTATGATGTCAGCTGATTCAGGAAAATACACTGTATTTTTCTTGTTAGACCTCTCCTAGCTTTGACAAAAAAAATCATACAGTCTGAGGGATATGGTTTTAATATCTGGTACGGTTTATTCTTTTGTATTTAATATCTGATATGACTTTGTATGTGTTTGCAATTAGTTTCTTATCTGACTGTTATGACATTTCTTGTTTTGTTTTTTTGTCATGGTACCAAATATGCCCTATTTGACATTATAAAAGGAAGCAGGGTTGAGGTTGAGGAGAAAATGTCAACAGGCTACAACACAAACAGGCTCTTCAAACGTTTTAAAACTGCGCCAAATCCATGCTCCATGTTTCTGTTTTTATATACATTTTTCATCAGGGTTAAATAATTCAGCAGTTTGTTTAAGTTCAGTCCCTCCCCCACCCCACCCCACCCCACCCCACCCCTTAACAGGCTTATTGTCATGAAATCTGGATGAGTTAGAGATAGGGTGAGGAGTTTGATCATCCGGGAGAGGCACGGCGTAGAGCTGCTTCTCCTCCACATCAAAGGGAATCAGCTGAGGTGACTCAGATACGTTTTTCGGATGCCCCCTGGATGCTTCCCCAGGAAGTCTTCCAGGCATGCCCCACCGGGAGGATGCTCATTGGACAACCAAAGACATGTCTCTCAGCTGGCCTGAGAGACATATGATCAGATCCTTGTTTCAACACCATGCCACAAAGCGACTCACCAGATCTCTGTTCTCAGCTTCTTGTCCATCTTTGATCCACCCAATGATTGCAGGTTCATTCGAGTATTTCTGCAGATCACAGGACTCTTACTGGAAGTCCGACGTGTTCAGGGTAAAAAAGGAATGGTGAAAGTACGGTCCCCTGTGGTGCTCCTGTGCTGCAATCTGTTTGATTAGGCAGCTGACCCCTCACCCTCAAGGTGATAAAGATATAATATTTTGAAATTTATTTATTATTCTAGTGAATCATTTTTTTCAGTAGACTTGTTTTCAGTGTTTATGATACTAAATAGTTTAAGGCATAATAAAACAAAGACACATTTTTTTTATATGAATCCCAAAGAAATCCCAAAATCCAGTTTAAGATCTTTATAGGTTTTAACATTCAACTCTTCACATTTATTCAGAAATAAACTAACAATTTAAAGTTTCGATCTGGAAACAGTGTGGAAAAAACCAGACTAGTCATCCATCCATTCAATCTGATCTGCTTGTAACCGATCAGGTTATGGAGGCACCAGGTCGAAGAGGGAACCACAGACATCCTTCTTTATGGCAAAAACCTCCACCTGTTTCTGGGAGATCCTAAGGTGCTTCCAGGCCAAACTGGTTATAGAATAAAATAGAAAATCCCTTTATTGTCCCACAATGGGGGAATTGTGGTATTACAGTTGCAAAGGTTCACAGCAAAAGAGGTCACGCAAATGTGGACCTTAAAAAAGTGCATAAAAAGAAGAGAATAATACAAACTCACTCTTGCGAATGACGGATCCTCCTGGTGGTCTGATCCCAGTTGAACATGCCCAGATAACATCCAAAGGGAGGAACTATAGAGACATCTTAATCAGATGCCTGAACAACCTCACATTTTCAGTAATCCTGAGTCCAGTCACCCCTTTGGAGGAAGGCTGAATACTCATCCATATCTCAGGACCATAGGTGAGGGTCAGAATGTTAGAGCGGTAAATCAATCTTTGTTTTTCTTCATCTCTCTTTACTTCCTACAGTCACTAGTAAATAAGACTGCGGTAACATTAAAAAGGCATGACAACCTCAGCAGCCCAGCATTGCCTAGGATTTTTCGATTACATCAATAATCATCTTCTTTGATAATCTTTTTCTGTTGAGGTTACAGTAGGAATACCCTGAACTAGGTCAGGCAGGATTAACCTAATCAAATTTAATGGCTGCAGGATTGACAGGGAAATTTTGCTATTTTGGTGCATTAAAACACAAACACAGAGAAACAGACACAAGCAGATATTTGATCATAGATATTCATTAAAGTTTATAGGGTCAAAAATTATTACAGATAGAACTCAAAAAGCTTAAGTTGAGGTTTCCTGTTCAGTTAAACTCGATTTCAATTTGTTTTTCAATAAAAGCTTAATGTTTTAAAGTTGCAGTAATAAAAAGGATTAAAGCAAAAATTCTTTAAAATGTAGTATAAACGTTTTTATTTCATAGAAAAACAAAAACAACAAAATGCAGGAATAGGAAAATATATTTATTCCATTAACATAAAAGTTTTCAGTTATCCTAACAGATAAAAACTGTATAAACAATAAATGCACATGTTGAACATTGTAAACACAGTCAGTTTGTCTTTCTATCCACCATCTGCACTCAGCTCACACTGAAATGCAACAATAATCAGCGCTCAATGTTTTTTAACCTGCCTTCTTTGTCTGATGGAGGGAACACTTGACTCTTGATCTGCCTCTGTGGTATTGCTTTCCTGTTCAGGTTCAGTTTTAACTTTATATTTGTTCGTTGGACCTGGAGAGCGAGGGGATTCGGGTTTTGGTCTCTTTACAGGAGAACATTTGTGTGCAGATGGACAGCTGTACTGATTTAAACATATGGAGCAGAGTGGATTAACTGGGAGACAAACCTGCTGTCCGAAACCAACGAGCAACCAGTTGATCTCACTCCACAGCTCCCTACAACACAAGACATAGGATTCTGTTTAATTTTTGTCCACCTGGGGGCAGCATAGCCACCTGGATGATAACAGAGGCAGTTTTTTTTTTAATCCTGTCAGCATTCCTCCTCAGTGCTTTCCCCCAAATGCCAGGTATTAGACATTTACTGCATACCTGATAACCTTGAGTACTTGTCTCTGATACCACTGGTCCCTAATGGTCTATGTTATCATTGACTATTGAACATTTCTAATACAGCTACATTTTTATTTATTTTTGCGTATAATCCAAGTAACTTTCAATTTTACAGAGTCTCAAAGGAAAAATACACAAATATTTTAACTACATATAAAATATACATATATATGTTGTTTTTTATCAGGCTTCAAAGGGTTAATATGGAATCAGCCAAAAGTAAGTAAGTAAGCAGGTAAGTAAGGAAGGAAGGAATTATGTAGGTAGGTAGGAAGGAAGGAATGGTGTAGGTAGGTAGGAAG